CAGGAGGGGGCAGCAGCGCCCACTTCTGTGTTACTCTCCAACCAATCAGAAGCCCTGTGCATTGGTGTAGTAACCATGGTGCCCACTTAGGGGCTCGCCATGTTGCCATGGAAACTGCATCTGTTTACAAAAGGTCTAAGTGTGGAAGAAGCGAAGAGGGAGCCTGATAGCAGCATGTTGGGGAATTAATGACGGTCGGAGTTTCTTTTCGGAAAATATTTGTTTTGTCCTGTTGAATGTATCAGTCAGTGACGCGAGTCTGAGGATGGTGTTCACTACATTAGCGTTTGGATGTCTTTGGAGCATGTGGAGGATGTGCCAAATGTTCTAGGACTACATGTGTGAACGTTGATTGAAATTTTTTTTTTTTTTTAAAAAGGTTAGTAGTAGTAGTGGTTAGTATTTGGGTTCACACATGAATCTGGTTTTACTTGTTCACAACAGCTATCATGTACAATGTAAAGCTAACAATGGAATTTGTCTATCCATCCATCCATCCATCTATCTATCCATCTATCCATCCATCCATCCATCCATCCATCCATCCATCTATCCATCCATCTATCTATCATCCATCTATCTATCATCCATCTATCTATCATCCATCTATCCATCCATCTATCCATCTATCTATCCATCTATCCATCCATCTATCTATCCATCCATCTATCCATCTATCCATCTATCCATCTATCTATCCATCTATCTATCCGTCCATCTATCCATCTATCTATCCATCTATCTATCCGTCCATCTATCCATCTATCTATCCATCTATCCATCTATCCATCTATCTATCTATCTATCCATCCATCTATCCATCTATCTATCTATCTATCCATCTATCCATCAATCCATCTATCCATCCATCTTGCCCACTCTGTGCATTACGTTGTACTATCATCATCATTTCTAACAATATTACGCATGTTTCCAATCTCTATATGCTCTACAAGTGTTGGTCTCCCGATAAAAAAAAGCAACTCAAAGAACATAAAGAAATGTCACTTTTCAAAGAGTAATTGAGGTGAAGCCTGTTTTTTTAATTTTGGACTGATGATGGTGGCCCATTACTGTGCACTATTATTAATCAACAAGCTGGAGAGAAAAATGACCACTCAAAGCCAGGACAGTGAGAGCTTTCAGGTGAACATTAACATGCGGCTTCCTCAACTGATCATATTTTCTCTTTAGCTAAAGGTGCATTATCTCCTAGAATAGAGCAGTAATTAATTGTCTACATACATGTATATGAGTGTGTGTGTGTCTCTGTAAAACAACTTTGGCCAAATTAATTATTTTTTTATTTAAATTATTTATTGCAATTTGCAAGTGCAATTTTATTGTGCAATTTCACCATTTTAAGAATGGGCTTTCATTTTTTAACCATTAAAAAATATCTTAAATATCTACATATGTGTTGAAGCTTTGGCAGTAAATGTGTGGGGAAATAGTGAGTGTGCAGTACAAATGGATACATCAAGTACTTTAAATGTAAAATGCAGCATTTTCATGAATTAATTCACACTATTTGTAAAATCTATAAGGTCAAAGTAGAAGAAGAAAAAAAAAAGCACATAATTTCTTTTCTTTTCAGATCATTGCATTTGATGAGCTTCGCACAGACTTCAAGAATCCAATTGATCAGAGCAATCCCACCAGGGCGGTAAGAACAATCAAAATGTTTAAATGCATGAAATAACGTCTGATTTTTGAGAAGGAAAATGCTAATTTTCTAATGCAACATTTCAGCGGTTGGTGTATATCAACAGATACAAATATTAGCAGTGCTTTTTAAAGAGTTTTCTAATCTAAGCTGGCAGGAGACAGTAACAAGATCGTAGTACCTATTTGCATTCACATTTGAAGCATCGACCTCCTACTACAACATGACCTCAGTCGCTTAGAGACAATGAGCTGTCACTGCTGGGGAAAGTGAAGGAACGAGTTGTCACCGTGAACTAACAAGAACAATCACATCCGCTAAGGACCCAATGTAGAATTTCACATTTAAAAATATGGGATGAAAAATGTGAAAAGTATGCGTAGTCAATGTAGGCGCTGTTGAAATGTGCCGCAGGTGTATATGTACGTTTTTTTTCCTACATGCTCTCAGTGGAGAAGGCCATTATTCATGTAGCAAGTTACAGCAGCCGCGATTGTCTTTTTTTTCGCAACTTAGCTAATGTTCTAGTAATCATGTGAACCTGAGTGTGAGAGTGATGAGGAGTGGGAGAGCAAACTGTGAAAACAGATTGTAGGAGTTGTGGATGCAGGCCAGCAACGGCGGGGGAGGAGAAAGGAAGTGACAATGGACGCAACACCTGTAAAACACCAGTTGCGGTTGAACGAAGACGTGTTGTTTTAATTTCCTCCCCAGATAAAGAGCGGAGGGAGGTGATGGGTTTTCTAAAGAGCTTGCTAAGTTTGCCATTTAGACTGATGTCAACTGATCTCCCGAGATGCTAACAGCCCTCGTTTAGCCAAAACCAAAATAAAAGGAATACTAAAAACGCCTTTGAAATATACAGTGATAACGTCATTTGTTTTCTGCATATGCATATATATCGACGTTAATAGTGCCGAAACTGACTAAACACTTAGGAAAGATGCATTATCTCACAGTGTTTACTGGTTGTCCGATGACTGAAGCAGTTATCTTAATGTCACATCAATTCGATTAGATTAGACTGAACAGCTTTAATCGCAAACTGGGGGAAAGTGTTGTGTACGCAGGGACAGAGGTACAAACTGTACAATGAAAAAAAAAAAAAGGACAAGGTCTCGCAAATGCCACGATATACAATGCAAAAAAATAAATAAATAAATACGCTGTTTAAATGACAGTAGTAAAATAAGAAGTAAAAATCGTAGTAGTTGAGCGCAGATCCACCGAGATTTCAGCATAGAATGCATTGTCAAACGTTGATCAAACAAACACAATTGTGCGATTTGTTTGTATAGACGGCTCAGAGTAAATAAGAACTGGGGATTAGCATAACGCTAAGCTACAGTTTAGCCGCAGTTTAGTGCAAAAAAAAAACAAAACAACTTTACTGTTATCAAGGGACAACACGAAAGACTTTGATGCTGTAACTAGCACTTATGTAACAAAGATTAATGCTGCTGTTGCTGGAACTAGGAAGCCTCCCCCACCCCCCACCCCTCCC